TACTCTTTGCCCATCTGCTGCTTCTCATTCCTCCCTGTTCCCTGCTCAGTGCTGGAGATGAGAATCCAGGAAGAACGGCGGGCACCCGCCATGTTCCTGTAGGCGGCAGAGGGCAGATTGCTGTCTTCAGTTAGGGGTGCATGCCCCTGTGGCATGGCTGCCTTCCCAGCTGCAGCCACATCATCACCGCACTCAGCCTGCTCAGCGGCCTTGGCTTTCTGTACCAGAACACTTTTTGTCACTTCCAAGCACAGCTCTGAGCCTGGTGACCACCACCTTCCCAAACTGACTCCTTAGGCCGCTGCAGTGGTGGTGGCAGTGGTAGCTACCCCAGCTCCAAAACCAGCGGCAGCTGCTCCACTTCCCCCAAACAGCCTCTCTTTGATGAGCTACTATCATGTCCTGCCTGGATCACAACACCTGTAAAAAAACTAAATAAAAATGAGCAGAAATAAATGAGCCCCAAGTTGCCAACTCTCTGGAAAATTCTGAAGACTGCCAGCAGGTGTAATTTCCAGGTGTGAGAAAAATAGAGGTGTCTGAAAAAGGACAGGGTGCAGCAATGAGGATGGTGAACTCAAAGGGAGCCAAGGTTTGCCAGAGCGGCCGGTAGCCATGGCAGGGCGAGAGTGTGGATGGTTCCTGTGTTCCTCTGAGTCCCTGTCTCACCAATAGACCACACAGGATGGTCTACCTCCAAATTTTAATCTCGAGGTGACCAGAGTGGCATTCGGATATCAGAGCATCGATGGTGGGCTGTTTTCTGCAAGCCCCACTCACCCCTACATCCAACAAGCCCCATGGCTCTGGGCTAATCGTCATTCCTGAGAGTGATCCCAGCTCACCACAGGGAAGGGGTCCACACTCCATCTGTCCTGGAATAGCTGCCATCTCTTGGGCAGCCCAGGCTGGGAACACTCCGCCAGAGTGGGCATGTCTGACTGTATCATAGTTTGTCATAGTAGGAATAATTGAACTAGCTTTCCTTGGGCCTTTTTTGGATTTTCAGAAAGGTTAGGACATTCCAAGTTTTTATTTCCTCCTTTCCCATTTCTTGCATCTGAAATTCAATTCTCCACCCCATGCAGTGTGAATCGTATAATGCAAGGCAATAGCCCCATCTAGTGTACTCGTCTCCAACTTCCGCAAAATGACTCTGTGGCCAGTCCTCCCGGACAAGGAGAGGTGCCAGATGTGTGCTTTTATCCCCCTGTCAATCAGACATAAGAAATGTGAGGGGAGACGGGAGGACCGCTTGAGCCAGGGAGGTCAAGGCTGCAGTGAGCCATGATTATGCCACTGCACTCCAGCCTGGACGACAGAGTGAGACCTTGCCTGGAAAAAAAAGAAAAGAAAGAAGAGAAGCATGAGGACCTAATTAATTTTTCAGTGTTAGAATAAATTACATTTATTTTCTGGTAAAATTGCACATAACCCTTGACCTATACATGCCCCATGTACCCTTTGTTTCCACAGTTAGCACAAGCGGTGGCAGACTGTGCCTGTTCGGTCCTGAGGCACATCAGGCATTCCCCCAGAGCCCCGAGTTCCAGGAGGTGGGTCACAGGGGCCATGCGCAAGGTCTGAGCTCTGAGAGAGAAAATCCCCCTGGGGAAGATCATGATTGACCCCAAATCACCATCGCGCTCAGCTCAGAATACATTTGAGAGTTCAAGGAGGCACTTTGGGCTAAAGTGAAAGATCCATACTGGAGCCTGATCAAGTCGAAGAGGGATTTTTGTGTCAACATCCAAGCATGCCTCACTGGGCCTGGCGATACTGCTCTGAAGTTATGTTCACTTTCTTATCTCCATGTGCTGGCTTTACTTCTCTTTCTTTGTCTCTTGGCTGGCAGAATTTCTGTGCTTCCTGGGC